TTGATTTGAGTATGGGAACAACTTCAACAGTACGCCAACTTTGTGGATAAATACTTTTCTAAAGAATATAGTTATATAGTTCGATTAATTTATTTATTAAGATTGTTTAAAGATTAATTAACATGGAGTATGATATACGGTCGCATCCCGGGGTTTTTCCCTTTACATTGCACATGACGTTACTAAATTCAACTATTGTAATATCATTTTCGATTTTTTTTTGCAGCAGCAATTAATGTCCTAGGATTATAATCATTCTGAAAGAAAAAACTCATTAATTATAAATTTTTATGAAAAGTGACAATCTTTGGAGAAATTAAAACAGGTCGTTCCAAAAAAATTTGCAAATACCTTTACTCAATGTGAAGAAATTTATGGAGTTTCCATGTTTATGGAATTTATTATAGTATTATTGTAGCATATCTCTCTGTTAGCACATTAATGTCAGCCAAACTCTTTTTTGTTCTGATTTTGGGCTTATTTTGCCTTCTAAATAATGCATTAGCTTTTTTATACGAAACTAAATTTGAGTTTGATCTAAACAACTCTTCTAAGTTGTTGCAAATTGGAATTCCACCACGGTATTGTATTCTACTTTAATAAATGATGATTTTGCTTGTGGGATCTAATAATTTGCTGCAGATCTAATGATTATAGCCAAATTGGCTGCTTCTATATTATTTTTACTCGCAATATTAAATCTGTTATTATTTTGTTTACAAAGTTGTTGGAATTTGTCCCAATCCGTAAAATCGGTTTTGAACTTTAGCCGTTTCTTTACCCTTTCGGAGATGTGATAGTAAGATAATTACAATAGAAACGTGATCACTGACATGCAGATTTTGAAGTAAGTTCCAAGAACACTTAGGTGTGAGTGCGGCTAAACACATTGTAAGGTTTATGTGAGAGAATGTGTTGAGAGTAGAAAAGTGTATGGCAGACCCCTCGTTTAAAATAACAAGGTTTTCGCTTAAAGTGACATCTTCAATAATTTTACCTCTGCTGTAGTATACATAGAAACATTGGAGAGAGTTGCGGGTATTATATTAGTTCAGAAGTTAGTAGATTGTGGTGTCTAATTGATGCCAGATGATACAAGAGAAACTGTTGTTGGAGATGTGTTTTGCTTTCCGCTGTGTACATTTAGTTTTTGTTTCGATTTTTAATATCTCTTTTTGCAGAATAAATTTTTTGCACTCTTTGGAAGAAGCTGGATGCTGTTTTGAATAATTTGCAGAATATATACGGAAACAGTCGAGCGGGGCGTGAGGAGGTAGACTATAATTTACACAGGCTGAAGCGTTTCGGCAACTTTTGGCAATATAACCAAGAACTTGGCACGATTTGCAACGCATTGGGTTTGACAATGTAGAAAGCATTTAATTGGCCAAATAGTTACGAGGTCTTGGGCGAGGTGCAAGAGATAAATATAAGGAAAAATCGCAAGTCAGACACTGTACAAAAATTATAGAACTTTACTCAAAATCTAAATTGACAATTGCATATTTGTTGAGTGTCAGATTGGCATGCAAAAAGCGGTGCATATTATTAACATTATTATTTATATAAATTCTTCAATAATTTATCTTCTGTAACTTAAAACAATTTTTATAAATTTAAACAGGTTATAAGTATTGCTACCGTTTAACAAAACTTTAACTTCTTCTTCGGACAAAAGGGCTTTATCAAAAAAAAATATAAATTTTTTCTGAAAATCGAACATACACCAATAATATGATATATATATTCCATTTTATGACGATTACACAAAGAATAATCACGTTCAGTTTAAAAAGACCATCTCTACATTTAAATAGTACGGTCGCTATGTGCTGAGTCTTTTCATAATAAAAACTATGCATAATACCATATTGCAGCTGTGGCGACATGACATTAGATCCCGACCTAGCAGATCTAGACCTAGTATTCGCATATTATTATTGTATAATATATTATTGTGTAATAATTTAAGATCTATACTCCGAAAACTGGTTATTAAAAGACTCAGTTCTAAACACATATTTTCCTATTCTTTGGCCGAATATATTCCTTTGTCAATTGTAAGTTTAGCTAGTATGCATAAGTATGCATAAACCTACTTCATTAAAGGAACATACAAATGTTTTTTATTTATTTTTATTTATTTTCTGTTATTTATTTTACAGGATATTCTTATTGATTTATTTTTAAAGTTTAAATCTGATAATAATTTTATTCAATAATTTGTTTTATTCATTTTATTTTTTTATACATATACATTTTGCAGTTATATTTTCATTTAAATTATGTGAACCTGTGTCTACACTGGTTAGACTTTTAGCAAGATTTTTACTCATACTCTCACTTTTTTACTCACACGAAAATTTCGAAAATAATACGTCCCAGTAGGAAACGGTTCAATCCTTCGTCGATGAAGTCCTAAAGACATGGACATCATTTTGGAAGACTTTTTCGAACAAATTAGTCAAATGTCTTCAAAGACATTTTGCGTACATGTCTCGAAGACTGGATGCATCCATGTATTGCATAGCGGACGTATTCGATTGAAAGTTGTGCACTCTTAGCGCAGGTAAGCGTATTCGATTGAAAGTTGTGCGCTCTTAGCGCAGGTAATCATTAAATTTTTTGTTCCCTTTTCTTATTTTTTCTCTTTTTTGGCGATCTTTAAATTTTATATTTTGTGTCTCATTAAATAAGTAGAAAGAAATTTGTACGTAATTTTTTTTTATTTATTTTATATAATAAATTTTTATATTACATTATAAATTTTATTATAAATTATGAATTCATTTGTAAAAATAAATTAAATTAAACAATGTGAACTTATTAATTATACAAAGAAACTTAAAGATGTTTTTACTTCGGACCACCGCAGTTATAGAACATAATCACAATTTCATTCATTTCCCGATAAGATTTTTTCATCAATTCAGTCTAATTGAAAGTAAAGAATATAGGTTATTATAACTATAATATAATATACATATTTGAATGGCTGTGTATGTATAATAAATGAAAATTAGTTTTATTTACCTCACAAAATGTTAATTCACTTTACTTCAAAATTATAAAAAGATAACGTCATCTGATTCAAAATTCAAATACGTTGCTCTAAACACTACAAATGAGAGGCTAAACAAAGAGAGACTATTTACATTCATATTTTGAACAAATGTATTGTAAATTTGTCTAAACATGACGACGCAGTATCAAATACTTTCTCGAAGACCTCTTTTTCAACTGGGGTATTTGCTTTCGAACATAAAAATCTTGCCTAAGTGTAGCCAGTGTAGACAGCAAGTAATAAAATTTATTAATACACTGCAAAAAATTTTTAAATTAATTTTCAAATAATTAGCACTGTATATGATTCTTACACGAAAATAACTACGTCATTATTTTAAATATTTTTTGTGTAAAATGGAGTTCATATAAAATAAATTCTCAAGATTCATATTAGCTGTAAATACATTGTATAATAAGTACAATTATTTTTAGATTCTTTTAATTTTAATAAAATGAGTTAGAATTCTGTTTTCAGTTAGAGTTAGAATGAGTTTGAATTCATAAAATTTTATTTTATGTTATTAGTACAGACATAATGGAGTGAAGAAACATTGTTTTGCCATGTTCACCAACAATGTTCTGCAATTCGCTCTTCTATTGTATGAAAAATGCATGCGACTAATTAATATATATTTATTCAAGTCAATGTAAAATTGCGCTAATTTCGATAGTATAAATTACTTGTGCACTCTTGTGGTTTGAAAAAAATTTTTAACTTTAATGACTGATATCACAAGAGTCAACCCATATTGTCGTATAACGCTGTTAAAAAATCTGATTAGATAGTGAAATTCACCAAAATAAGACATCAAATAACGGTGCGCCTAAAATTGTTGTCGTGGTATATACAGATAGGTGAATATTTGTTAATTAATACTTAATATTTAAGCGGAATATAGAGTGCGTAACTAAGTAACGTAAACATGTACACCATATGTACGTATGTTTTTGTAAAGGTATAACATTATCGAATAATCAAGACTTCAAGTTTTAAAATTAAAACTAAAATTTAATTGAAATTCATAAAAAAAAGAATTAAAAAATAATAATATTTTGCTCATCTAATTCGGCATGTTTTTTCATTTTTACAATATACAGAAAAAAATAGAAAATGTGAATTCATACTTATGTAATATTTGTTTTTTTTAAAAAAAAAACATGAAAGTATAAAAGTGCATTTAGATCTTGTTATTGATATTATTTTTAAATTAAAGTTTTTTATTACATCTATTTTTTTATTTTTATTTAACACAAGCCAAAGCAATACAAAATCAATTTAATTGATGTGATATTTTATTTTTCACAATTTTACCGAAAAAAGGTGCTTTTATTATTTTCTAAATTAACTTATTATTGAATTATAAAACTAAATTTAATTTTGGGTTATACTATTTTTATTTATATACTACAATTGCTAAAATGTTGTTATTGAAATTATTGTTTTTAGAATTATTATTGTAATTCTTTTATTTATTACTATAATTAATTAATTAAGAATGTGTACTTTTTAATTTTTTTTGTACCATATATGAAATTTTAAATTTGACTTATATTAAATATAAAGTTTATTTAAGGGAAATATAAAGTAAATATAATTAGAATATAATTTTAACAATATAAATATTTGAAATAATATTATATATATATAATGCAAATATATAATTTAAATATATATCTGCAATATATATTTTTCAGTGTACAACATTTTTCACCATTTCCACCACTTTTCGGTTTCAGCATGTTGCACACATTCAGCAGTTTTTACATATATACATGTTTATATACATCACCAATTAACTCTTTTATATATACTCAAATTTGTTTATTTTGTAAATAGTTCATCCACACAAAAAATGTCTGCAACTTTCGCTGAATGCAACAATCACTGAAGATATTCTTGTGTTTACTGATGAAACAAATCGAACGATTAAACAGACCTAAAGAGTTAGTCTTTTTTTTTTCATTCCCGCGGCAGTGAGAAAACTGAATCGATTTTTCAGTATTTGTTAAGTTTTTAAACTTATATATTTGATGTTTTCGCTGGGAGTTTTTTTGTGAATTATGGCTTTTTTATTTGAACAAGGCAAGAAGCATACATTTTGGATATAATTAAGTGCGGTGTGCAAATTGTTTAATTAAAGAAGAAAAATAAGAAAAACTATTGCAGAGAAGCGTTCACCTGCCCCTGCCCCGAATGAAAGGAAGAAGAATAAATAGTTGTATACCCACTGTATGAGCTGTGAAAATTCCCCTGCGCCGCCGTACGCCGGACGTAGGACATATTATTGCAAAAAGCAAAATTACTATTTGCATTAACCCCTTGTTTGGTTGGATATGCATCTAGCCATGCCTACCGTAAATTATTTTAATGTTTAGTTTGTTATTTAAACGAGCCTGCAAATAATAAAAACGTATAAATCTACCCGTACCCGTGTGTACGTTGTAAAATGTTTTCTACGCAGCACGGGGTCGGCGACTCCGACGGGTATGATTTTACAAAAAGCGAAAATGCAGCTCGCTGGAGGGGTTTGTTTACGCCGTCCCTGAAGAAGGTACATAGAAAAAAAACAATTAATGTCATATTTTTGTTGTGATTCACTGTTAATTGTTGCTTTGTTTTGGTTTTTTGCAGGTTTTGGAGCAAGTACATTCTCGCTTGACAGCCAAAGAGGATGCTCTGCTTTATGTGGAAACACTTTGTTTACGCATACTGGCAATGCTGTGTGCTAAGCCATTACCGCATTCTGTACAGGTAAGTTTACTGCCATAGTAAATGGGTTAGAAAAAAAATATTAAACGAAATGCAATTGATTTTTGCAGGACGTTGAGGAAAAAGTGAAGAAAACATTTCCAGGCCCTATTGACGAGTGGGCATTGAATGAAGCAAAGGAAACAATTAGCTCCAAAAAAAGAAAATCTGTTTTGCCTACGGATCGAGTGCACTCATTGTTGCAAAAGGTAATTTAAATTTAAATTTTTATTTTAATTGCATTTATAATGACTCTGGCTATTGTTTTGTTTTGTTTACTTTCAAATGGAATTATTAGAATATAATTTTTAAAAATGTGTTTAAAAATAATGAAGCACATAATTTTATTTATACGTGCCAAATTCTTGACCAAGTGAAAAATATTTAGAAAATTGAAATAATAAACTTTGTTATTTGCCACTCATACTTAACCAAATTGGGTGGGGCTAGGCAACATGTGCAACTGGGATGGGTGAACAAAATATTTTGTTACATTCGTTTACCATAACTCTGTGTACTTACTTAAAAGTTGAAAGCACTTTTAATAATGTTCTATATAAAACTGTAATCTAGTGTGTGATTGTTGAAACCAATAATATTTAGTAAATGCATTTAGTGTGCAGGAGTGGAACGAAGCCGACCACTCGACAAGGATTTAAAAATAAATTTTCTTGGTAGGATTACAACAACAACAATAAACACATCTTATTTTGTTCATTATGTGTCAATTTTTGTTATTATTATTTTTTGCTTAATTTATGAGTTACTGGAATACGCAAACTTTTTAATTGAATTTATTGGGCTTCAAGAATGGCCGGGTCTATGTTCCAGAACCACACGTCGAGTTTGACAACCAAGTGTCGTTCAGCACAACCAAATAGGAACCACGTAGGCAAATCCTTGTGGGCTAAAACAACAACAAATTGAATCTATTGCATTTAAAAAAAAATTAAGGCAAAAAAACGAAAGTTTGATTCATTAATAAAGTTGTGGTCCAGAAGTTTCTAGAATTTGTGTTAACATAATGTTTCTAATTTTAATGTGTGGCAGATCTTATAATTTATATTTTTTTGAAAAGACAAATAATGATTTTTGAATTCTGTTAATATTAATTTGATTTAAAAAATGTGATGTTATGTGCTTAAGAAACTTAATCATTATGAAGTGTTGACTACAATACCAGTCTGAAAAGTCAAATAGTTCCGTAACGTATGCCTGACCGCCCCTAAAGCTCTTACAAACTATTTAGGTTTTGTGTCAGGTTTTAATTCTATTCTATGCAGTGTTGACAACCACATTATTGAATTAATAATAACTATAATTTTAATGAATTATTTGTAATGTTGTTGTTGTTGTGATAACCCGTTGGGACCTGCTTGTATGCCTTATTATGTTGTCGTTGTTTATGTTGCTGTAGCCCGCCAGTATCTACCTTTTGTAGTTCCTTTCGGGAGTGCTGAACGACATTTCGTTGTCAAACTCGACGAGTAGGTCAGGAAGGTGAATTGAGTTTCTAATTTTTTGAAATATAGAGAGTAGCCTGTAAAAAAATTAAACTTTCATCTATTGTCAGTATAGTAAAAGATAGTGACAATATATAGTAAATGAAATTAATTTCTGTTGTTTTATAAGCGATTTGATTTGTTTCATTAATTGAAATGTCCTTAATTTATTAGAACTATTGTGTTCTATTGCAATAATATGATTAAGATGTAACGGAGTCATAAATATCGCAAATCACATACATGGGATAAAAAAAATGACATATTCTGAATTTATTTAAACTTTTGTGTTGTGCAAATATTGCTAAAACTATCGAACCTACATACCGAACCCAATGTAATAGTTTGTGATGCAGTTTCAACAACATATCTGTAATAAAGATTAACTTAATTTGCATCAGGATTGCTACTCACTTAACTATATCTCAAGTACTCTCATGTATTCATGTTTGTCAAATCGTCTAACTGATAGATTTTAGACATTCAATTTTTTTCCTAGTTTTTTCAACGGACACAGAATTGTAAAGTATTTTTAGATAATTAAATATAATGTGTTGTTGTAGCCCACAAGTATTTATTTGTACAGCTCTTTTTGAAAGTACGAGTAGCTCTGGGACGTAGACACGGCCATTCTTGGAACGTGGTCTGTTGACTTTTTTCTAGACTATGGAAAGACATTCAATATCGCACATGTTAACATAAGCTGAAGGCGCTAAGTGCGGTTAGTTGTAATTCCTAACGTATCTGTTTAGGCGACCGAGTGTCGATCACTCATCCCATCATGGATCCAAAAAGGGGGTGGCTGATTAAGTCACAACAACAACAGCAGCATAGACTACAAAACATATTAGTATGTTTACAATTTAAAATTATTTTTGTATTTCTCGGGTTATTAAATCGAAAATGCTTTCAGTGTTAGTGTTACACTGTGATAACGGATCCATTCTATTGAATAATATTCAAAAGAATACTTTTAAGTGAATTATCATAATTCTTATTCCTATCGTTCTTGAGTAGATTTCGCATAGCTGTTATATCCGGGTATGTGTTACCAAAGCGACGCCTTTACTTACTTACTTTACTTAATTGACTATTACAAACGTGAGTCGTCCTTGGCCGTGTTGACTGTGATACTTAAGTCAAATGATCATAAATCTTATCACCAGGAGTGTGGCAATCACTGAGTGGTGATTTGTCAGCGTTACATAGAATGATTGAAAATCTTATTTCTGCGTGTCTGATATCAAATGGTGCTAATGCACTACTTGGAAAACTTTGTCGCCATCATAAACAAGTAACAAAAAAGTTCATTTAATAAGAGTAATGCATTTTCAGTATTTTTTAATTATTAAACAGATATAGTTTCTGTATATTTTTATTGTATAACTGGTAATATCGGAACTAAATTCCAATATATTATTTACTTTTGTAACTTAATTAGAAATTATTTGACATACAACACCGTATATTCATTTGAGTTTAATTACTTTTCTAATATATTAAAAAATACATAACGCTTCATTTGTCGAAAAATTTCTTAATTAAATCGTTAAAAAAAAACTATTTAAATTGCAATGTGCAACTGTTTTGCTTGGATTTATAGAATAGTACTGAATCATCGATTGTTATTAGTCATAGTATTCTATTCTAGTCATCCTAAACCGAAATTAAGAAAATAATATCTGCAATAAGCAAAAAAATAATAGTCAATAAATATTATTTATAGATTTATGTATATATGTATATGTATATAACTTTTATTAATTTTCGCAAATTTTCTTATTCTAGGATGTACTTCAGTATAAGATTGATAATTCAGTATCAGTTTTTCTTGTTGCTGTTTTGGAATATATTTCAGCAGATATTTTAAAGTTAGCTGGAAATTATGTGAAAAAGATAAAACACTGCGAAATAACCAAGGAAGATATTGAAGTTGCAATGTGTGCTGATAAGGTAAATTTTATAATTATATAATTATTTAAAATTTTTTATACCATTTATCTTATTTATTATTCATAGGTCCTAATGGATATGTTTTATCAAAGCGATATAAAAGCTAATGTAGTACCTAGTCCATTACCCACCTTACCCACACAGCGTGCCAGCACTACATATGAAGAAGTTGTGAAGGAGCTCATACATGATGAAAAACAATATCAACGTGATTTACATATGATAATACGTGTATTTCGTGAAGAATTGGTTAAAGTAGTACGTGATACTAAAGAGCTCGAGCCTATATTTTCCAATATAATGGATATATATGAAGTGACAGTTAACTTATTGGGCTCATTAGAGGATGTTATTGAAATGTCACAAGAACAAAGTGCTCCCTGCGTTGGTAACTGTTTTGAGGAGTTAGCTGAAGCAGAAGAATTTGATGTTTACACCAAATATGCACAAGAAGTGACGTCGCAACAATCCAAAGATGCGCTCAGTTTGTTATTGGCTAAACCAGATGTATGTTGTTATTATTTATAAATATATATAAAATATATTTTTTATTAATTAAATTTATTTTTTTTATAGGCCATGTCTTTAATGTCCGCAGGTCATGGATTTCGCGACGCTGTAAAATATTATTTGCCTAAGTTGTTATTGGTGCCAGTTTGGCATGCTTTTGTTTATTTTGATTATATTAAATTACTGATGGAGCTCAGTCCCTCGCAAGAAGATGTTGAAAGTTTTCAACAAGTACAGGGCCTTCTAAGGCCACTTCAATGTGATCTCGAAAATATAGTAGCGCATTTGCCTAAGTAAGTATTATTATTTACTATTAAACGAAATGATTTCACTTCAAAAATATCTTAGATATTAACGTAGTTAACTATTAAGTATTTTTTCTTTCAATTATTTGGATTGTTATTTATTAAAATTTTTAAAGTAAAGTATATTTATTGTAATGTTCACGTTTAAGTTTCGATTAAGACTAGTTTTTATTTATTTCATTTTAACTTACAAGCTTACAAGCTAACTTAAATTTAATTCGAACTCTACTTTCTTATTTTGTACTCTTATAAAAAGCTTATCCTATTTACATAAAAGCTTAAACTCTACATTTATATTTCGCTTTTTATTCGATATCAGTTTTGTCCTTTAAAGACAATTATTAAAACTTTTACCAGCATCAAATAAGTTAATATAAAGTAAAATTAAGTCCAAATAAAGCAGAAAAGCAGTAAAAGCAGAAAACAGGGTTTAAAGTAAGAATTTATATAAAAAAGTTTGTCTATATTATAATTCTTAATGTAGATATACAGGATTTTGTAACTATATTTGTAATATCGCACTGATATCCCAGCATATAGCTATATATTATTTAATATTTTTGAACGGATTAATTGGTAAATTGTTGAAATATTTTTAACAACATAGCTGAATATTTTATAAGAAGATTAACATACTCGTATTTGCCTTGTCATTCTAATACGCTTTTGAATGATAAAAATATAATTGAAGTAGTGAGTGATAATTGTCATAGGTGAATTGTTTCAAATTCTACATCAGATTGCTCCTGAAACTTTAATATTTTTTGTGTATCTTTCAATATATTTTTACTTTAATTTTTTGTATTTCACTTAAATGTTCTGGTTAGTTCTTTTTCCGTTATTTTCCTCTCCTTAATGAGTACTATGCCTCTATTATTGAACTCTGTTTATTGCTTCTGTATACGTTTTCGTCAATCTCAATACATATTAGTGCCTATTGTGGGTTGTCTATTGCCAATAGACAATAGAAAAGTTTCTATCGTAGATGGACAAAGCCGAATTTTGGTATTGTGAACTGCAAAACGAAAGAATTTTTTCTATTAGCTGTAGAAAACTTTTTCTATTGCGTTTAGGTAATAGAAGTTTGTCGATCAGATAAAAAAAATACTGTTTAAACGCTTGTAGTAATTCATTTACATTTTTATTTGCTGCTTAGTCGCTTAATATATCGACTTTCAGGTGTAATATATTATATATTGCGAATAAAATTTGTTGTTGACAGAGGAGTTTGTTTTTGTTGCGAATGTTAATAAGGATACTCATCTAAACTGATAAATGCCTTATAGATCTTATAAACTTATAAATTTATCTACTTTATAAGTTAAGTGTCAAATCTTGTATGAAAAATCGTTTCAAAAACACCAAAATTTTACCGAATAAATTTACCGCATAAATTTCTCTGTTTTCAACACAGAATTGCAATCCAACAATACAGTGTTTCCAAAAATATTTTTGTAAATGCTTTTAAGTTTGGATTTTTCACAGAATTTAGGCATTTTATTTTATAATTTTATACTTTAGACAAATATTTAATATTCTAACAATATTGGCTAATCGTTTGGTTGAAATCATTGTGGTACTAAGCATTGCATTTTGTGCTGTCATAATTATTGCTATTATAAATAGTGCTATCATATAGCAGATCATGCACAACAGTGCACCAATCGACTCAGTAGACAAATGTCTATTATCTACTAACAAACATTTTATAATAGCCACTACTATTTTAATATATATAGTATTTTAATAATGTTAATAATATTATATTTTCCATATTTTTAGGGAGTCTTGTGTTCCAATGAGCAGTAGAGCTCGTCGTCAACTAGCCATAGAACGCACACGTGAATTGCAGAATACAGTTGAGCATTGGGATGATAAAGATGTTGGACAAAATTGCAACGAGTTTGTAAGAGGTTTGTATTTATAAATATATTTATAATAAATAATAGTTTTTAATATGATTTCAAAATTTATAATTTGAATAGAGGATTCTCTTGGAAAATTGGGTTCAGGAAAGCGTATTGCTGAGCGTAAAGTCTATCTTTTTGATGGACTAATGGTGCTTTGTAAGCCAAATACGAAACGTCAAGCACCATCAACCGGCGCACAAACATATGATTATCGGCTTAAAGAAAAATTCTTTATGCGTCGAGTTGAAATTAACGATCGTGCCGATACTGAGGAATTGAAAAACTCATTTGAAATTGCACCACGCGTGCAACCATCTATCATACTCACAGCCAAAAATCCACAACATAAAAATGATTGGATGGCGGATCTCATTATGGTTAACACAAAATCAATGTTAGATCGCATATTGGATAGCATATTGCTTGATATTGAAAAAAAGCATCCGTTACGTATGCCAAGCGCTGATATTTATAAGTTTGCAATACCTGATAGTCCTGATAATATTGTATTAGAAGAACGTGAGAGTACTGGTGTGCCTTTAATAAAGGTTTGTTTTAATTTTGATACATTTGTATTAAATTTATTAATATAAGTTTGTTTTTACTTTAATTTAATTTTATTTTATTTACATAAAAATATAGGGTGCAACGTTATGTAAACTTATTGAGCGTTTAACCTATCATATATACGCCGATCCTATGTTCGTGCGTACCTTCCTTACCACATATCGTTATTTTTGTTCACCGCAAAATTTGTTAACGCTTTTAATTGAGCGCTTTAATATACCGGATCCTAGCCTGGTCTATCAGGATAACCAGCTGGGTCTGGATAAGGATCCACTTAATTGTGATACTGATAAAATGCATAAAAATTCGCAACGCGAAGACTGGAAAAGATATCGTAAAGAGTACGTGCAACCCGTACAATTCCGTGTGCTAAATGTTTTGCGACATTGGGTCGATCATCATTTTTATGATTTTGAAAAAGATCCAACATTACTGGAGAATTTATTGCATTTTCTGGAAAATGTTAATGGTAAATCAATGCGAAAATGGGTAGACTCTGTTTTAAAAATTGTTCAAAGAAAGGTAAATATAAGAATTTTCAATCATATTACTATACATAGTAATTAACTATTTTGTAAAATATTCGTATAATTAATAATATATACAAAACTGTTTTTAACAATGTTAAATAACAATGCTAAATAAGGCAATAACATTAGCAAATGTATAAAAATAATTTAATTATATTTTAAAATAAGATTAAGTGTATTAATAGACAAATATAATAATATGGTGTATATAATGAAAACACATATAAATTGTAATGTTAACCATATATAACATATAATAATGATATTATACTACTTTTAGTTATGTGATTAATTATATATTTATTTTATACATTTCAGAACGAACAAGAGAAGAGCCATAAGCAAATAATATTCGCACAAGGCGTTCATCCGCCACCAATTGAGCACCATCTTAATGTTCCTGATTCAGAAATAAATTTGTTAACTCTACATCCATTAGAGTTGGCTAGACAGTTAACACTACTTGAATTTGAATTGTACAAAAACGTTAAGCCTTCAGAACTTGTCGGTTCACCGTGGACAAAAAAGGACAAAGAATTAAAAAGTCCTAATTTGCTCAAAATAATGAAGCACACAACAAACGTAACAAGATGGATTGAGAAATCAATTATCGAAGCGGAAAATTATGAAGAGCGTGTAGCTATGGTTGCACGGGCTATTGAAGTTATGATGGTTATGCTGGAACTAAATAATTTTAATGGCATATTGTCAATAAGCGCTGCCATGGGCAGTGCATCTGTATATCGTTTAAAGTTAACATTTCAGGGTTTACCAGCGCGTTATGAAAAATTTTTAGATGAATGTAGAGAGCTTAATGATGGTCATTTAAAAAAATACCAAGAACGTTTACGTTCAATTAATCCACCTTGTGTGCCATTTTTCGGCAGATATTTAACAAATATACTGCATTTGGAAGAAGGTAATCCTGATTTTCTGCCTAATACGGAGCTCATCAATTTTTCAAAACGTCGGAAAGTTTCCGAAATAATTGGTGAGATACAACAGTACCAAAATCAACCATATTGTTTAATGGTCGATTTAAAAATTAGAGTAAGTAATTATACTCGAATTATACAAAATAAATTGATTTAAAATAATCTAACTTGTTTAAAATATTTTTTACAGAACTTTTTGGAAAATTTGGATCCCTTTAAGGGTATGTCAGATACAGACATATCGAATTTCCTATATCACGAAAGTCTCCGTATAGAGCCGAGAGGTTGCAAGCAACCTGTAAAATTTGTAAGTATATTTTAGCACAAAATTTAAAAATTAAAAACAAAACGAGTTAAAAATTTATAAATTTTTTTTGTAGCCACGAAAATGGGCATCCATTCCGTTGAAGTCACCAGGCATTAAACCACGACGTCAAAACAATAGCAACAACAACAGCAGCAGTAGCAGTGTATCGCTAATACAATCGTCGCTTTCATCATTTAGTAGTCGACCACAAACAGTACTTACTACACATGATGAAGGTATTGGTGAACATAGTCCAACGGCATGCAATACTAGTACACACAGTCAAAGCAATAATCCACATGCCTATTCTGTGTTTGCTAGTGTTAATATACCTGATCGTAATGGTAGCAATTGGGTGCATGGTCTGCAAACAGGAGGAACAGTTTGTTCGACAGCTGTTCATAAAAATGACGAACACATTGAGGCAAATGGCGATACACCGCAACCAGTACCGCAATTGCCAAAAAAACCATCTGGAGTACACACTTCCGTTGCACATATTTGGAATAGTGAACCAACTGAAAAAACAACTTTCAGTCCTACTTTTATCGAGATATCATCAACACGTCTCGATACTTCTTGGACAACAATTGACGACCAACATCAACATCAACAAATATCATCTCAACAATACCATACGCAACATCAACATCAACAGCAACAGCAACATGTTAATCAATATAATACCACGTTAATTAATAATAATCCTATTGTTAGAGAAAATGAACCGATGCCACCATCGCCGTTGCCTAAAGTTGTAGTTAGTCCACGGCATGAAAAGCATTCAGCAAGATCTCCTTTCCAAAATACCGCGCCATCAAATAAATCTTGTTGCAGCTCCACCACACATTATAGGTATATTATTTGTTTATATAATGATTTAATGAAATACAATTGTAAGTGATATTTCATACATTTTATACATTTCAGTCCAACAGAATGTATTGTTGGTGGTAATCCAGCTTTCATAGGTTTTGCAAGTTCTCAAGTAGCTGAGGTGGATTTTAATAATCCAACAGTACCTGTTTCTCCGCATGTAAATGTACCTACAGCATCAAATGTAGAGTATAGAACAGCACCACCTCCGTTACCGCCTCGCAGAAAAGAACGAACCGAAAGCTGTGCTGATCTTGCACAAAAGCGTCAGGCACCTGATGCTCCAACGGTAAATATTCTTTATAAAAGTTATTTGATGCTTTAAATGCAAATATCAACTCAATTTAGATTAGATATATAGATAATAATGTATATTTTGTTTTTAAAGTTACCGCCAAGGGATGGTGAACTGAGTCCTCCACCTATACCTCCCAGGCTAAATCATTCCACCAGCACATATCCTCGCAGTCAGACGAACGAATTTATTGGAAGTAAACGCTTATTACAACCAAATACTAGCAGTATTATGATACGAAGAAATTCAGCAATTGAAAAGCGTTCAGCTGGAGCCAATATAACAACATCATCTTCATCGACTTCGGCATCTGGTTCATCATCATCCTCACTAAAGATGACGAATCCAATGCCAGGTACACCGTTTACAGGTCATTTAAATACTGTATACGCAGCGTCATTAGACGAACAGGTTATATCACCAGCGTTAAGCTCTTCAACGACAACATCACCAATGACACCCATGACACCCATATCCCCGCACATTCCGACAGGATATCAAATATCCGATACCACATATGCATGCTTTAAGACGTTAGCGTCAACACTGCAAACAACACAACATCAAAATCACCAACATCAACAACCACATACAACTACTGTTGGCATGCAGCCACGTTCGTCTCCAAAGGAGTTTTTTCCAATATCTGACGGCACCCCTAAGCTTCCACCAAAACCTAGTCTTAGCGGAAACTTTTACAACAATCCAGGTAAATATATTCAATATATATAATTCAAATAAATCTCATTATTCGCTAGTTGATAGGATTAGTTTTAGAAGCGAAAGTTTATTTTTAAATATTTGTAGGAGCTGAACGCTGTTACTTTTAAAAATGTATCAATTTGTTTATTGAAAAATTATTTTTTTAAATAATGTACATGAACACTACTTATAATATAATTTTAATACTAGGCAACTTATGCATTATAATAGCTCTTTTAGTAATTCTATAAGATATTTTAAATTCTGTTTTATTTTATTTATTTCTTACCAATTTATATAGAAAAAAAATGATACCAAGTATTATCAACAAGAATGATGCAGGTATTGGGCCTCACAATCGGAACTAAGGGCGCAAACGAAATTCTGTAACGAAATAGTTTCTGTGATGTGTAACTTATTTTATCGCATGATTATTTATGTTGACTTTGGGTAATAATTAAATGACCCATGTTTGTTTATGGCGATCAGGTCGATAGCCGGCTTGTGAATTCCGCTTAATAGCATTTTTGCTTTCTTTTAGTGAGATGTGGTCCATCCATGTCAATTTTTTTTTCTAGTTTCTGAGTTAATAAGAGCATTGCTATTCAATTCCAATTGATTCCCATTAGAGATTACACACAATCAAAACACACAACAGACAATTATTAGACATTAATTAAAAAATGTTTGCAGATTTGTGAAGACCTATATACTGTCATGACATCCTATAAGTGATTTACTTGAAAACATTTTTTAAAGTTTATATAGAATAGATATTGCAACCATTTTTAACCTAGAATATATTAGTTTAAATCATAAAAATTTGTTTACTAAAAATATACTGTCACATATCAATAAGGTATATTGTATTATACCTGAAGAAATACTCCTTACATAACTTAGAAAGATGTGGAAGTTATTAATAAACAATGCTATTGTCGTATTGCTATTGTAACCCATATGAAAGTTCTGCTTTCCTTAAAGCGACCGGCATTTGATTAATATGTATAAATTTACTTACACACACACATAAGTTTAAAATAAACTTACATCTCTCAATCTTATATACCAATATGTATGTATGGGTAAGTTATCTATACATCCAATTGGGATTTTATAGTAGGAACTTAAATTTTATAAAGAACATTATTTGTATACACACTAATTATCGTAAACTAAATATTTAAGTTGTACATTAATACGAAATCTTATCTGCACTTATTATTAAGTATGATATTTCATATATAAACGTAACATTATTATACATAGTATATATATAGTATATATATTAAGTAACACTTATAGTGCGTATATAATTTTTATCATGCTAACTTAAGGCTTTAATAAATTAAAATCTTAATATAAATTGTCAGGTCTCTTAATCTTAATACATCTGAACTCGTATAAATCACTAGTTTTTTAACTATATGTACATGCTTGTACATATCAACACCTTAAGATTCTGTGGAATGTAGAGTTAAACTTCCACCAATTCTACAGTGCAATTCTGGCAACGATTTTTCATCACATTCACTACATTCTCACAATTTTGCAAAAGATCGCTTGGAAGATCTTTCCTATTCTGGCAGCGATCTTGTGCAAGACTGAAAGCTGTTTATGGTCTTTCACAATACCAAATGAAAGACCTGCTATTGATCAGGTCTTTCAATTGTCAGATCGTTGGCAGAATTGTCCTGTTTAGTCTATATAGATTTTTAATTGATTTAGTCTTTGGTTTCTTACCTATACATGCTTCAACATATCAACACCTTAAGACTCTGTATAATGCAGAGTAAAACATTCGCCCATCTTACGTGCTCATCTTATTGCAAAAAAATGAGTTCAGTATCTCCATTCAGTTTTCATTAAATCTGATGAAGTCTGGAATCTTGAAGCATAAACTTATGTTAAGTTTGTTAACTACCTTAAATTGTCTTAAATAGATCTTATAGGATTGTAGCATACTATTGACCGTTTTAATAATAAATAAATAAAAAAATAGAAATTGATTATAACTCTAATAGGTATAATTTAAGTTCCTTATAATTATAATTGCCGGACCTAATGCAAAAAAATTTAATTTTCTTATAATCATCAAAAAGTTTTAATTGGCAATTTAAAATATTTATTATTCAACTAAGGGGGTCATTTAAATAGCTTTTCTTTATGTAATTTTTTAAATGAAATTTTAATATTCATACGTGCCTTTGTGATGCCAACTAATTAGATTTTTTAAATAATGAAAATATGATGGAGTGGTTGCAATAACTGATATTATAGAGAAAAGTAATTGATCAACTTGTCACATGTTTTCTGCATGTTCGTCAAAATTAAATACACATTCCAAAACAAATGACTTCTGTTTTTTTTGTTTTTATATAAATACTTATCAATTTACATTAAAAATCTGTTTTGAATGGAAAATTTTACCATAAATCGGGTGTTTTTGTTTTAAATTAAGCTTTAAATATAACTGATTATATATATACCACAGAGTGAAAGTCAGACATTCAAATATTCAATTTATGAAACAAATCAAAAATAAATTTACTAAGGATCTTTCTATTCTAATTAAGCTTTAGATTTAAAATCAAATAAACGAATATAAAAAATTAATCGTATTATGATTCAAAAACAATATATTAAACGAATATAAAAAATTAATCGTATTATGATTCAAAAACAATAATTATTCTAACATATAGTCCCAAAATAATAGACGCTAGGTATATACTACACTCAAACTTCCATAGCTCGAAGTATCATTTTGCAAAGAAAAGGTTCGACTTATGAAGACTTTGAGTTAAAGAATTTTTTTGTAATTGTATGTAAATTGCTCTCTAAACCCTGTTGCACTCTATTTAGTTCAAGTTATAGAAAATTGGAGTTATAGAAGTTCGAGTTATGGAAGTTTGACTGTATATATCTTTAAGATTTATTTTAAATTTTTAGTCTTTGTATATAATTATTTTACTATGCTATATATAATATTTGATGTTTTTTTTTTCTAACAATTGATTTTCTTTTCTTCCACAGATGGTACGATGTTTCTTTACCCAAGTACAAACCAAGAATAATATTTATTGCCTGGCGATGTGATACGGACGAAGATTTTCATTAACTCATCAAATTATGTTATTGTAAATAAAATGTATTGACCTGACCGTATAGAATAACACAATAAAATATAATAATATTGTTAGAATAATATACTCTGATATGCTATAATTTTTCGATTATTGAATATTAATATCTAAAAAGCAACTGTTGGTGTTGTTATAACTTGAATTGTTTGAATGTCCTTGGGTGCACTGCTTTTTACAATTTACTTGCGAATTCCAATAGTAGTATATATATAATATGTATATAATCTTAAAAGTTCCTCGCAGTTTTGCTTCATTTTGTTTTTTCCATGTATGTTGACGTCCGGGTTTTCTGCGATTTTTAGAGACGGTAGTGATGAGTAGTGGTTAAAAGTAAAGAATATTTTCATGCTTTAAATTTGACTTAACTTTAGAGGCTAGTAAAAAAACTAAAGAAATTATTAAAAAATTATTAGAAATTAAAAAACTAAAGAAACTGATTAATTTTAAAACTACAATATTTAAAACTTAATATAAAAACAAATCTACATTGACCTATTGTTAGGTTATTTAAGATCATCCAAAACAATAGATTAAAATAAAAATGGTTCTTGTAGGTTCTGCCATTAAGATCAGTATACAACAGAGGATATCCATGATTATGCTAGAAAAACTTTCAGGGCTTGTCAGACTCCAAATCGCTTGTAGGGAGTAATTATCTCAGTTGACATAAGATATAACTTGAGTAAGAACAATTTAAAAATTATAACAGAATTTATAGCATAGCGTTGTAGATAAAGCTATTACGATACTTGCAGTCTTCGTAAAGGAGAAAGGGAAACACTAAATCCGGCATATGAAATGTGTTTTACATTGGTGCGTTAAAGGAAAAAAGTTTTGGATAGATACAAAACACCTAATGATTGAAGAATGGCCGGGTCAACCACCTAAAGAGATTTTACAAGCAGATCCCAGTGAATTACAACAAAAGCATGTATTAAAACTCGATGAAATACTACATATATGATTACTCGTATTTATTGAAGAAATAAGACTGCGACAGATACTCTTTGGTGTATCTGAAGATCTCTGTGCTATATCGACGCATAATAATAATATCATGCATATGGCTTTTTGTAACTAGTCACATAACAGTTACTCTGGCGTCTGTGATTTTACATTTCAAAGATAAAGCTAAAATTAAGCCAGCAGCAGTTATTAGAACCAGAACTGGGCTGATTCGAATAGAAGATAAAAAAAGCACGATTTAAGTTACAAGTTTCATCGATAATTCGACTTTAGTCTTAAGTCATTATCAGTAAGCTAAGCATTATAATAAAATACATATCAACATATGAAATATATCATGGTGGACAAAAGCATATAAGTATATACGATTGAAGTGTTACCTATTCAAGCGACAATATCGTTTTTGTGTGAAATTATTTTTTTTTGATTCAAATTACAAAAATTTGTGGAAATAATCAAAATTTTAAAATCCATTCATTCTAGCTCGATGTGGCCAGCTTTTGCCTTGACTATGACCTTCAAACGGTTAAAACATAAGTTGCATGCTTTACGAATGTGATCTTGCGGTATTTTGGACAATTCCTCAACAATGGCTTTCTTCAGCGCATCCATACGGACATATTTAGTATGACATGTCCTCACCTTGCTCTTTAAAATGGCCCAGTTGTAATAGTTCATTGGAATTACATCAGGCGAATTCGAGAGCCATTGTATGGAGGAAATGAAGTGTGAACATGATTTTTTAACCATTCTCGGTTGACACGAGCTTAATGAGACCGAGACCGCTGTCGGGTCATGTTGGATCACATTGACAAGTCACATTGATTTTGACACCAGGCTCGATGAAAACGATTGAAGAGCATCCATCCACAGTTCTCCATACCATTACTTAAGATGGAAAACGAAAATTACTTCGGATGGCCTTTCGTAATCTCAAATTTCAGTTAAGTTAAGTAAGCATGATCATTTTCAGAATTTATGAACTGCTCAATGGGGAAATTTTTCTCATCAGAGAACAGAATGTTTGAAAATTCGCCACGTTCGTGCAAGCGTAACAATTGGTTGCGCTTTACTCTTTCGAGTCTAACTTTTTGTTGCTTTGGTATAAGATCTTGTGTCTTTTGGAACTTATAAGGCTTTAACAAGAGCTTATTTTGGAATATGCGTCGAATGCTTCGCTGAGATATTTTCAGTTCTTTGGCCATTTGATGACGACTGCGACATGGATTTCGTTTAAGTCAGGTTTCACTTTCCGAATCATTTCAGGTGATATTGTTGTCCACCACCATAGCGTTGGGCAACACTGCCTGTACTATAAGAACGATATATGGTATGATGAGGTGCTTGTGATTGTAATTTTAAATCTATATATAAAGCAATCACACTATTACGTTTAAATTCTTTTTCGAAAAATGTTTGTTGTGTAAAACTTAGACACAGGTAGCTTATAAACAGCTGTCATTCGTATGAATTTCACGTAGTTGGCAATATCAGTTAGGCAGATATACTTATGTGTGGTTGGTAACACTTCAATCGTTTAACCATGTATATTGCGGTGTCACCAAATACAACCTGCTGACTGCCTAAGTAGTTCAAGAATTTTCTAGATCAAGTCAACTTTAACACTCTATAATAAATTATTTAATCTTGGACCTGTTTATTGATGTATAATGCATTTATACATCTGGGCACAGTTGTCAACGTTACTTTTAAAATTAAGCCTTGTGTTGGGTGGAATTTTCAAAATTGCGATCATTTCCAAAATTAAGAACGAGATACACGCTTTTAGGTAAATGCCAGGTAGTGTTAAAGAAGAACTGTGACACTTTCTTCTCTGAACTACATGCTTCAACAACAGTCAATGCAGACAATGAAGAGTACTCCTTAACTGTTGATAGATCTACGTATTAAACAGTGCCCAATTATTATATCAACTGTATTTGCTGCTTCGTTCTTACGTGAGTGTATGTTATGTCATTTTTAGTCTGAAATCTTAGAGATCCGTATATACAGGCAGTAATCTAAAGATGATATCTTTAGAATAAAGATGATATCTGAAGATATGTAAAGCTAAAACACATACCTAATTTGATTAGTGTTATTAGTAGCTGTGGGCTAATTCTTTTAGCTCTAAGTTGTATGTTTTCTTATACTTCAACTATAAAATATATTATCATTGAAAAATGCAATTAAATAATTTTGAGATATAATAAAACTGACTTTTATTAACCACTTCGCCTATTATTTTTGTTAATCCAGTTAATTGATTATGTTTGCGATTTTCTCCTTAAAGTTTAGTAAGAACATTAGTTTCTATTTAATTATTGATGGAAAAATTTTGGATGAAAATTAGTTACTGCAATTCAACAGCTTTATTTATTTACATACGAGTATGTGCATTTTATTGCAATTATGAAATTAACTTTAGTAACAGAACACTCGAAGGCAGTTAACTCATATCATACTTGGTTCTAGACTGCCGGCATATACTCTCTCATCATTACTCCAGTTCTGTTATTTCATTGCAGTAGTGATCAGGAGACGTTTGCTGTTGGTTATTCCTATATTCCATAGATTTTTAAAGCAAAAGTTGCTCCATTCAGTTTCAATGTTAACTAAATTATATTAAGGGTAACATATCAAATATTTTTGTAACCTTTCAAATCCTATTGATATAAGTGTAATGTATATATAATTTTATCGAGCGAAAAATAATAAGAGAACAAGCATAGTAGACATGAAATTAAAAAGCTTGAGAAAAACAAAGAATACGAAGTTCTGTGATAAAGAACTTATAGTGGTAAGTGATTTACGTATACTTGTTATAGCTGCTCTATTCTGTAAGTAAAAAAATGAAAGCGTTTGATAAGAGAAAGCACTACTTTAACCAATTTCTGGTTTCTTACTACTATAGAGACCTCCTTTTCTGAGAATCTTGATCAATTGTAGTATCTCCTATAATAGCAAGCTTTGGCTTTGGCAAAGGTTCAAGGTGGTTTAAAATCTTTGAATTTTTCGCTTGTATGGTAACGCAGTGGGCCAATAGGCCTAAGTGAACCTCTTAGGATCCCTGGTACAAACTAACATAACCTAACCTAAACAATTTCTTTCTTAGATGTTTAACTTTTCATAGTATATTGTAAACTAAGCAGTCTTAATTTTTTATTAAAGGATATTACTCTTTACTCTGTATCTACTGTGTATCAATATGGAGTTACGGACATACATATATTCTCTTTAAATCGAAACTAAGTTATGAAATAAACTTCTGGTAGTATGCCTTTGCTTGTTTATACATTTTTTCAGACAGTTTTATGAAATGTTTTCGCTTTTGTGATATTTCTGAAATATATCAGTTTGCCTAGCTCATAATTCATAAGAGCTTCTGTATGTTTTCTTCTGAAAGGACTTCCGCATCTTTTTGTGAAATACAGTTACCCTGCCGGCTTCTCATTTTTTAATGTGCTATATTTTATTTCCATACATAGCAACAGATTGCAGTACCATTTTCCATATTCCAAGCTAAGTATTAACATTTTGAAGAATATAAGTTGTTTTGTTGTAAAACAATGGTAACACCTATCATGTTATGCGAATGGATGGATAACAATTTGTTTCTTATTTGCAAATGACACTTATATAAATTTCATTTCAGTAAATAACAGTCCACGATATCTGAAGTTTTTGAAAACTTTTCCAATCTAAAATTTTGGTTTAGAATGAGTCTGCCCAATTACAATTATTATAGATAATGTGTGTAATTATTATTATTATTATTTGAATTACTCACAGTCAGGTGACTGGTATTAACGTATTCCGGGTCATTGACCAAAGGATATACGCTCTGTTGGAGTGTAATCCAGTTTTACACCCTTAGTCGATTATTTCCCTCATTATGTTCGCCGCGCTCAACACGACCGTTTTTTGCACTCGGGCTATGATTAATGGTTTTAAATTTAAATGTGTAAGTGAAATTATTGTTGTTTTCGGTACTAGCCCTGTGGAGCTTATTCTTATTGGTAGTACTTTTACTTCATCTATGTCTAGTGAATTTTTTATACATTGTGCTAATTGTTGGTATTTACTTATTTT